TTCCTCCCTCCCTCCCCCTTCCTCCCTCCCTCCCCCTTCCTCCCTCCTTCCCTTTCCTTCCTTCCTTCCTTCCTTCCATCTCTCCCTCTCTCCCACCCTCCCTTCCTTTTACTTTTTGTACTCTTAGGTATGAATATCAGGGTAATGCTGTCCTCATAAGTTGGGATATATTCCCTCCTGTTTTATTTTTCTGGAAGAGAATGAATGTAATTGGTGTTATTTCTTTAAGTGTCTGGTAGAATTTGTCATTGAAGCCATCGGGGCCTGGAGGTTTTTCAGGAGGGGTAACTACATTTTCAATTTTTTAAATGGTTATGGGACTATGACACTGTGCTTTACAGCAAATATGTATTTTGGTCTTCATCCAGGATCCTGGCACTCACAGCTCACAAAACTCTTGGAGTCTCTAAGAGAAAAGGGAACATCTTCTGTTACAACAGTTGGTCTCCCATCCTCAGTTCCTGAAGTCCCTTCGGAGCCATGAGGGTGAAGTGGGTGTCCTGTTCCGCATAAACAGCCCCTTTACACCACAACTGGGTTTGTGTCCATGAGGAGACTTTTGGAAGAGCCCTAAGGATGGGGGCTGGGTGCCAGGAGGAGCCAACTATGATTAGAGGGTTTGGAGCCTCCATAAAAACGCAAAAGGAGGGGGTCCTGAGGGCTTCCAGGTTGGTGACTCACGTGCAGAAGGGTCCAGGGACCCTTGCACACCTCACCCTATGTATCTCTACATCTGGCCGTTCATTCATATCCTTTAATATTCTTTGTAATAGACCTGCAATCTAGTAAGTCAACTTGTCTTCCAAGTTCTGTGAGCTGCTCTAGCAAATTAACAGAACCAGAGGAGGGGGTCATGGAAACCAATTAATAGCTGGTGAGTCAGAAGCACAGGAGACAACCTGGACTGGAGTCTGAACTGGGGGCGGGCTTGTGGGACTGAGTCCTTCACCTGTGGTGCTTTCTTCAGGCAGGTAGAGTCAGAACTGAGTTACTTTGGTGGGACACCTGGTCACTGTCTGTGAGAATGGAGTTAATTCCTGGGTGATGTGGAAAAAGACACACACATTGTGAGGACTATCCCAGTTACCTAACTCGTCTTGAGTGAGTTTTGCAAGCGTGTGGTTTTGAAGAATTGCTTCATTTCATCTAAGTTGTCAAATTAATGTGTGTGCAGTCGTTTGTAGTTTCCCTTTTTATGTTTCTGTGGATGGTAGTGATATGCTCTCTTTCCTAATATTGGTGAATTATGTCTTCCTTTATTCTTTCTGTCTGCTAGAGATTTATCAACATACTGATGTTTTCAAAGAACTAGTTTTTGGTTTCACTGATTTTTCTCTGTTCTCAACTTTTCTGATATCTGTTCTTATCTTTATCATTTCCTTCCTTCCGCTTGCTTTGGGTTTATTTGTTGGGTTTTTTTGGTTTTGCTTTTGTTTGTTTTAGTAGGCTTCATGCCCAACATGGGGCTTGAACTCACGAGCTATGAGTTCCCTTCCCCATGGAGCGTCTTAAGGTGGACACTTGGTTAATGGATTTGGGACCTGTCTTCTTCTGTAATGTCACCATTTAGTGCTATGAATTTCCCTCTAAGTACTGCTTTATATGCATCCCATAAATTGGACACTTTTAGTTCAAAATATGCTCTAATCTCCCTTGACTCTTCCTCTTTGATGTATGAACTATTTAGAAGTGGAGTGGTTAACTTCTAAGTGTGGGAGAATTTCATGTTATCTTTCTGTTAACAATGCCTGGCTTAATACCATTATGTCATTCAATTACTTTCAATGACTTTAGAGTGTATCTTGGTAAATGTGTCGTGTGCACTTGAAGGGTTGTGTTCTACTGTGTTGGATGAAGATATAAAAATATATCACGCGTATATATGCTTGTGTGTGTGTGTGTGTGTGTGTGTGTGTGGACACCTGTATGTGTACATGTTCCGTGTGTGTGGACACCTGTATGTGTACACGTTCATGTCGATGCTGTTCTCCTCTGCATATCCTTGCTCACTTTCTTTTTTTTTTTTTTTTTTTTAATTTTTTTTTTCAACGTTTATTTATTTTTGGGACAGAGAGAGACAGAGCATGAACGGGGGAGGGGCAGAGAGAGGGAGACACAGAATCGGAAACAGGCTCCAGGCTCTGAGCCATCAGCCCAGAGCCCGACGCGGGGCTCAAACTCACGGACCGCGAGATCGTGACCTGGCTGAAGTCGGACGCTTAACCAACTGCGCCACCCAGGCGCCCCACCTTGCTCACTTTCTACCAGTTTGGTCAATTCCCAAGACAGGAGCACTGGAGCCTCCGAGTGTAACTGGAGTTTGTCAAATTCCCCTTGAAATCCTGCCAGTGTTTTCTTTCTGTACTTTGCAGACCCTGTGTTAGGTGCCTACACGTTGAGGCTTGTTGGGTCTTCTTGTCATGTCCCTCTTGGTCTCTGCATTTTCCTTGCTCTGCAGTTGACTTTGTCTGGCGCTCCCTCTGTTTCCGTTTGCCAGTGTGTCCTCTGCCATTTCTTCAAGCCGTCTTGTAAGCTCACATTTGAAGCGAGTTTCTTGGGGACAGAAGATAGTTGTTATTTCTCGTAAGTGCTCTGACAGTCTCTGTCTATAGGGATTTTCTACACACACACACTGTGGTAAGAGCAGCAGACCCTTTCTGACAGCATGCTGACCGTCGGTCTTTAATGTGCTTAGGCCATTTTCAGCTCATGGAAGAACTGATGCGTTCGGACTTAAGTCTTATCATTTTTTACGTGTTTTCTATTTGTGCCTTGCTTCTCTGTTTGCCATTTTCTGCCTTCTTTTGGTTTCTGCAAACTCCTTTTGGTATTTCACTTCAATTACGTTTTTATGGTATGTCTTTGTGTAAATATCTCAGTGGTGGCCACAGGGACTATGATATTGTATCTCTACTTCAGGTCATACCTTCTCCAATCAAATCTAGGTGGGTTTACACCCTCACTGTGAAAAGCACACCTTAAAAATGTTTAGAAGACAGTATCTTTATGACCCTGGGTGAGGAAGGATTTCCTAAGTTAATAGATATGCACAGAGCATGAACAGGCAAATCAGAGAAAATATGCACGGCAAGGAACATATGAAAGTGCACTCAACCTCGCCAATGCCGGGGAAATGCCAGTCAAAAGGGCAATGAGACACAATTTCTCCCTCTTACGACTCAGGTGGGGGGACTGACATTGTCCAGGGGATTCCTGGTGGGGACCTGGAGCGACAGGGAAAGCTTCCGTTTTGCTGGTGGCCGTGCGAGTGCTCACCACCACGCTGGAGGGCAACTCCACGAGACCCGAGCAAGTACCTCTCATGGTGTACAGGTCCACAAAGTGTGAATACCCCGAAGTACGTCTTCAGCGCAAGACATCAGAAACAAGAGGGTGTGAACAGATGAATCTGGGCGTATTCACGCCATGGAATCCTCTGCTTCAGTTAAAATGAACAAACTACATTGTATCTACAATGTTACTGAACGGAAAAAAGCGATCTGCAGAAGGATATACACTGTACTATTTATACACGGTTTACCACAGGCAGAAGGCAGAACAGGAGTTTACATTTTTTGGAATGCACACTTATGTGACAGTAGAAATCTGTGGGAATAACTAAATTCAGGTTGGTAGTTACCTTCAGGGCAACGATGCAGGGTGGGATCAGAGAAGGTGTTCAAGGGGCTCTGATCACGTTTTTAAGATAGGGTCAGTAGAGGGTGTTCGTGTTTTGAAAATGATTGTATGTATGAAAGATCCAATAATAAAACACATAAGTAGGGGCGCCCGGGCGGCTCAGTCAGTTAAGCGTCTGTCAATTTTGGCTCAGGTCATGATCTCACAGTTAGTGAATCCCAGCCTGGCATCAGGCTCCGTGCTGACAGTGTGCAGCCTACTGGGGCTTCTCTGCCTCTCTCTTTCTGTCCCTCCCCTGCTTGCTCTCTTTCTCTCTCAAAATAAGTAAACAGTAAAAAATAAAACACATATGGGGGTGCCTGGGTGGCTCAGCGGGTTAAGTGTCCGACTTCGGCTCAGGTCATGATCTTGCCGTCTGTGAGTTCGAGCCCCGCGTCGGGCTCTGTGCTGACAGCTCGGACCCTGGAGCCTGTTTCAGATTCTGTGTCTCCCTCTCTCTCTGCCCCTCCCTTACACTCTCGGTCTCTCAAAAATGAGTAAACGTTAAAAACAAAATAAAACACAACACACATGTCTATGTTTCACATATATACGGAAACACCAAAATCTTAGGCATGTTTGCTACTGATTAGTAATTGGATTGTGGGTGACTTACTTTTGTTATTTATACTTATATGTGTTTTCTAAGCATTTTTTTCTGGAAAGTGTATTATTCTTATTACCTTAGAGATGTTTTTTGGGGGCGCCTGGGGGGCTCAGTTGGTTAAGCATCTGACTTCGGCTCAGGTCATGATCTCGCGGTTCCTGAGTTCAAACCCTGCATCAGGCTCTGTGCTGACAGCAGAGGCTGCCTGGGATTCTCTCTCTCTCTCTCTCTCTCTCTCTCTCTCTCTCTCTCTCTCTCATTCTCTGTCCCTTCCTCACTCGCGCTCTCCCTCTCTCTGTGTCTCTTTCTCTGTTTCTAAGCACATTTTTTAATGTTTTTTGGTTACAGGGATGTCCTGTCCCAAGCAGACCCCACCTTTCCACTTCCCAGCACTTCACACTCTTACACCCAAAGCCCGGACACAAGTTGTCACCCAGGACGAAGCAGTGGCTGACCCAGTTTATAAAAGAGCTCTCTCCCCGCCATGCACCACTGGCCTTTAGGCTGTGGAGAATATAGTGTCACTGGCGGCTTCGCCGTTTCCAGGATCAGAGAAACTTGGGAAAATGTTCCATGGGTTCCCTGACTCGCTGAGCGGAGCCTGGGGCCTCCTGGGGGTGGGCACACGAGGAGGCGCCCGGCTTCTGTGCCGAGGCTCCCGTGGCGAGGCCTGAGGCCGGGCCAGCGGTGCTCACCCCTCCAGAGGAGAAGCCGAGGCTCCGCCTCACAGCTTTTGCAGCCACAACAGGGGGCGCCTCATCTCGCCTCTAGATCGCACCTGTTATGTGTGTTTGTGGGTGTCTATTTCCCCTCAGTTATGAGACCAGAACCCTAAATTTACACACACACACACACACACACAGAGGAAATGTTCCCACCGTACCGTCCCCCTCGTGTGGCTTTGAGCACCTGGCGTGGCTCACGTGGCACCTCCACTGGCGGCAGCAGCCGGGCTCGGAAGAACGTGAGTAACGGTGATCAAGGTGCCCGCGGGGCTCCCTTCACATCGTACTGGGGCTACCAGTTTCCTTCTCTGTATTTTCAGTTACTCTGCGATGAGCTCACACCCCCTAGAAGACAAAATTGATGAAAACCGTGTCCAACGACTTGAAAAGAGGGTTCCGCGAGCACAGCGCCGGAAGGCTGGGCCCAGGCGGGCGGGTGAGGGGGCCCCGGGCGGTGGGGCCTCCACAGCCAGTCCTCCTCCGACGTGGGGGCTGAACCGCTCACACCGCTGCCAGTTCAAGCTTCTTGAGCCTCACCACCTGCCACCGCGACGGGCTGTGACTCACGGGAGCGTCCTTGTCAAATTTCTTTCACGTCCGGGCGGTGGCCTCGGGCCTCTGGGTTTCCTCGGGGCCGGGCCCCCCCAGTCCGCACACCCGAGGTCCGCACGGCACCCCCCCGTCCCCCGGTGCTGCATGTTCCGCTGTCAGGGCAGGTCGGCGAGAAACGTGTCCCCGGCCCCCTCATGCCCACACGACCTGCTCCTTGTTCCCTGGGCCAGCGAACGTCGTGAGTCCACTCACTGCCGCCACTGGAGCTCGGTCTCCTCCTTTTAACACCTTCCCTTCTGATGAGAGCGGAAGGATTTTGTAACAAGTCACTCACCGATGATGGGATGACTTCTACTGATTCCATCACTTACCTCCACTGCTTTTGTTTCATGTTTGATGGGTTTTTTAATCTGAACTTCTCACCGTTCTTAAATAAATACACGTAAATATAGCCAAGGAAGGCACCTTCATGCTTGTCCAAAGCGGGAGTGTGTGATATGGATCCTAACTCAGTGAAACACTCCAAAGACATCTTTCCGATGGCGACTGAAAGTGGGTTTTCCCAGGTCGCTTTCCCGGCTGCGCAACTGTGGTGGCTCGGATAGCACCGGGCCCTGGGGGGAAGCGGATCCCGGAGGAGTAAAATGACAGCGGGCTTCACGGGGTTACGTCTCTTCAAACTCGACCGAAACGTGGCCATCAGGCTTTCTGCTCCTGATCAAGACAGGGTAACAGGGACTGTATCCCTCTCCCACCAGAAACAACTACGAAAACCTGAAAGGATATATGAAGGCATGGGACACCCAGGGACAAAGGACCCTGCTGGACTGCAAGCGCACGAGGTGAGGCACAGGACGGCCCCCGCTCCTGCCTGGAGGAGGTTTCCAGCCCACGGCAGAGGTTAGAAAACCCACGCGGATCCCAGAGGCCTTCTTGGTTAAGGCGACAGAGCCTGGAGGCTGGGTGGCCAAGGAGGCTAGAATCTGTGCTGTCGGTCAGCAAGCGTCTGCACAAAGTAAGGACTCGAGGCCCCCAGGGCCCCCTGAGCGTTCAGCAGCGCGCTAGTCAGCACATGCACGTGAGGAAACTGCCCGACTGGCGGAGAGAATCCAAAGGAATTGGAGGGAACGGTCCCCAGGGAACCCTCACGAGTTGCTGGGAATACTGCCTGTTCCCAACAGCTAGATGGGGCCTCGCCATTCATGGGGCATCAGCGAGAACGTTCAGAAAGGTGTTCCCCTGATGGTGGGGAAGAATGAACCCGACTAAAGAATGCCCCAGCTCTACCTAACGAAGTATAAAAGGAACACGTGAAACAGTCAAACTGTTTTCAGGTCACTGAATTAAATCTTAGAACAAAGAAAGCTGGGACACAATGCAGAGCCCGGAAATAAGCCTGCACACATATGGTCACGTAAATTACGGTGAAGGAGGCAAGAATACACATGGTGGAGGACAGTCTCTTCAACAAACGGTGCTGGGAACACAGGACAGCCACCGGCAAAAGAACGAAACTGGACCCTACGTCACATCATACACAAAACCAACTCAGAATGGACGACCTCAAACCATAAAACTCCTGGAAGAAAACACAGGCTTAAGCTCCTTAGCACTGGTCTTGGCGACGATTACTGGATTTGACACCAAAAGCAAAGGCAACAGAAGCAAAACTAAACACGCGGGACCACACAAACCAGAAAGCTTCTGCGGAGCCAAGGAAACCGTCGACAAAATGAACGGACAACCTACTGAGTGGGAGAAGATATTTGCAAATCGTGGATGTGACAAGGAGCTAATATTAAAAGGTATAAAGAATTCATATAACACAATAGCAAAAAAAAAAAAAGCAGATTAAAAATGGGCAGAAGACACGAACAGACATTTTTTCAAAGAAGACACAGGTGACCATCAAACACATGAAAAGATGCTCAACACCTCTCATCATCAGGGAAATGCAAATTAAAGCCACAGTGAAATATGACCTCACACCTGCCGGAAAGGCGAGGCCCAAAGACAAGCCGTATCAGGTGCTGGCGAGGATGTGGAGAAGGGAGCCTCGAGCACCGCGGGTGGAAGTAAACGTTGGTGCAGCCGCTCTGGGAAGCAGTATGGAGGTTCCTCCAAAAATTAAAGACAGTGAGAAAACAGCGGAACTACCAGATGACCCAGCAATCCCATTTCTGGGAATTTATCCAAAGGAAATGAAAACACTAACTTGAGAAGATGTACGCATTCCACGTTCACTGCAGCACTATTGGTAACAGCCTGGACGTGGAAAGAGCCCAAATGTCCGTCGAGGGAGGACTGGATAAAGAAGTGGCACATACACACGATGGGATACTACTCAGCCATAAAAACAATGAAATCCTGCCGTTTGCCGTGACGTGGATGGGTCTGCAGGGCTTCGCGTTTACGCGGACGCACACGCACACGTAGGACCTACTGCGCACGACTATGCGCCCAGAGACACAGACAGCGGAGCGGTGGTCGCCGGCTGCGAGGGGGCGGGGTGTGGGCAGACGGGATGAAAGGGGTCCGTTGGGACAAACCTCAGTTCCAGAATAAACGAGTCCCGGGGAATGTGACACGCAGCATGGGGACTCTAGCTAATACTCACATACCGTGCGTTGGAAAGTTGCAACGGCAGATAGTAGATTAAAAGTTCTCATCAGAAGAAAACAGTTTTTGTGACCAGGAGAGGTGATGGATGTTACCTAAGTCTGTTGTGGTGATCGTTTCCCCATTTCCACAAACGTCGAATTGTTACGATGCACACCTGACACCCACTGTTTTATGTTAATTATATTTCTGTAAAAAATGTACATAGCATACCCATTATTTTGTTATGTGCCTGTCACTCAATTAAAAATGTGAAACTTATGTTAATACATGCACTAATTATTTTTCACAAATCAATTCTATGAGTGTGTCACAATTTATATATTGCTTCATTAACTGATGGAAATAAATACTGCTTTTACTTTTTTATAGTTACCACAGAATTCTCCAAGAAACAGCAATGCTATTAAAAGAAAAGAAAGCAAAATGAATTCTACTGAGAGGGCAACTTGTATTATCTCCAGAAACCGTCTCTATATTGAACATAGCAAATTAAATCGCTCCACATTACAGGGGAGAAAAAAGCTGAATATACAAACATCTCCGGTTCTAGAACTGAGCCCCCATATGTACAGAAACGAACCTCGATGCAGCTCCTAACTCTTATACAACATTTAATTCAAAATAAATTATAAGCCACAGTAATATGAAAAATGTATTTTGAATTTACCTAAATGTACAACACAAAACTGTAAAACTTCTACAGTAAAACAAAAGTGACCTTGCGTGTAGACGCATCACCAAAGCACAGTCCCTGAAAGAAAAATTTTGCAAGTTAGACTCCATTAAAATTAAACATTTTTGCTCTGGGAATGGCAACATCAAAAAACTTTTTTGATGTTTATTTATTTTTGAGAGAGACAGAGAGAGCGAGCGAGTGGGGGAAGGGGAGAGAGAGAGGGAGACACCGGATCTGAAGCAGTCTCCAGGCTCTGAGCTGGACGTGGGGCTCGAACCCACGAGCCACAAGATCATGACCTGAGCCGAAGTCGGATGTTTAACCGACGGAGCCACCCAGGCGCCCCGGGAAGGGCGGCATTTAAAGAATAGAAAGTCACAATACAAAAAATACACACAAGTCACATTATCAGATAAAGGACTTGTTATCCAAAATGTACAAATAACCCTTAAAGCTCAAGTATAACAAAACAAACCGCCCAGTAAAAGTCAGGCAAAAGATCTGACCGTGCATCTCCCCTCAAAGACGTGCACACACAAGTCAGAGCACGAAAAGATGCTCAGCACCGTGTGTCATCAGGGAGTTTCAAATCAAAAGGCCACCGGAGATGCCCCGACACAACTCTTTATCAGAATAGCTGAAATGGAAGGAACCCACAACACCGACTGCCAAGACAAGAGCGGGGCCTCTCTCACTGCAGGCGGGGGTGCAGAATGGTGCGGCCGCTGGAACTGAGTTTGGCGGTTTCTTACAAAACCACACATCCTCTTACCGTACAACCCAGCAATCACCCTCCTAGTTATTTACCCAACTAACTTGAAAGCTTCTGAACGTTGATAACAGCTCATTTATAATCGCCAAGAACTGCAAGTAATCGAGGTATTTTCAACAGGCGGATCGATAAACAAACCGTGGTCCGTGCGGACAATGGACTGCTATTCGGGGATAAAAAGGAATGAGCTCTGAGGCCGCACGGACACCGGAGGAAGCCCACGTGCACCTTACTAAGTGAAGAGGCAAAGCTACAGAGATGCCAAACGGACCGCAGCAGCCAGAGGTCTGGGAGGCGGCAGAGCTGAACAGGTAGGGGGATTTTTAGAGCAGTGAAACTGTTCTGCAAATACTTTCCTTCAGATATAGGGCACCGCACATTTCTCAAAACCCACGGAACTTTAACGTTCGCGAATGAAGGAAAGATAATTTCGGGCATCGGGACCCAGGAAGGGATGCAGACGGTGGCCAGACTCTCGGGGTGTTACAAACGCGTGAAACCCCCTCACTGAAGGGGCGGGAGTCCGTAAGACTCAAGGCAGGGCACCCGCCCGCGAGCGCCGGGCTCTAGTTGACGAAGTTGTTCCCGGCGGGGTCAGGTGACCAGTTCTGATCCTGCGGCCCGCGTCCTGGAGTGGAACAACTGAGCACGAGGCCGGCGGCCGGTGGGAGCCCCGTGCGGTCTCACCGCTGAGTGGGAGGTTCCAGGGGACCGAGGGGAGGA